AAAATGGAGACTGTTGAATGTGTGACGCACTGCCGGCGGCCTGCATTCCACACTGGCGGCCATATTTGATTGACCGCCGCAGCGGAGCATGCGGGGGACTCTCAATATACATACTCGTATGCGGCGGTAAGGTGTAATTACACATTATACTTTTATCCATGCATAATGCATCATACCTGGATGAATTATATCTAAATTATGCACTGGAAATTACTTATCCGGACTGATCGTTGAGGATGCTACTTTTAGATACATAAGAGGCATTGGAATGCTCATAAGTCTTTTTGTGGACATGCATATGCATTCCTCGATGTGATACAGATTCGGTGACTTGTCTCTGTCACCGCTCAACCACCAATGGTAGCTGGAGGCGCATGGACCTACCCGATGAAGCTGCTCGCTGCTCGCCAAACGCAAAGAGGAAGGTCGCGAAGCCGGTTTGCAATTTTAAAACCGCACAAAGGCCTTTGTCAGTTGCCGATGTGGCACCTGAAGGCTCACTGCTGGTCATCGCGCATTGTCGATGGGATCTAAACGCGCGATGATGCGGTATGATGACTAATGATAAATAAAGCAAAAGGTGTAACCGACAATCGTTGGTAATTTCATGACTTGCAGTTTTGTTGGATCGGTAAAAAATGGCTAATATGATGATTTGCAAATGCCACTTAGCCTTACTCTCGTGAGCCAGACCGAATTCTATGCGGTCGGTAGGAGATAAGACGCATCAAAAGTAGGTATAGCCTCTGCATAATCTGCGCTTTATCGCACATAATTCGCCACATACGGCACCCTTCCGACAATATATCGAGCACAAGTCTGTAATTATAGCCGGGCTGTTAGGCTGCCATTTTTGACATCATCCATATGTTTCACCCTGACCTTGACGATTTTCTCACACCGCACCTGGGAACGTATGAACCACTAGCAAACCGTTGCGGCCAACAGGGAACACATGTTCAGTTCTGTCGTGACCTACGCTTTCACACACCAACGCCCACCATCTTTCTAAACAGGTGTTAAACACCTGGCCAACCAATGTCGCCTTGTCCGCACCCCGCGGCCGGCGTCTCGACTGCCATTCCGTGCTGGCCCTCACGGCTAGTTACTGCGCGCCCACGGTCCGCCCACGGCCATTCTTCACGGCGTCCACAGAGGAAGACTGACACCGCGTGGTCCCGACACCCACCGCTGAGTGACGGCTCTGAGTCACCGGAAGGTTGGCCCAACAATGGACGCGCGGCCGCGTCATCCGCCGACCGGCCCGGCCGACCGGCGATCCGTGCCTCCATCGCTGCAGCGGTGTTTGGTGCTCGCCGGATGTGTGTATAGGTGAACTGTGGAGCTGTGACTGCGGACTGTGTGTTCCGTGCAAGTTAAAGTGGTTACCGGGAGTCAGGAGTGGGCCGGCGAGATGACGGGAATTTTGAGTGGAAGGCCACGAGAAGAAATCGGGACGTTATTTTTTTATTGTTTTCGAGGTTTAATTAGAACACGTATTCAGAGGTTGTTTTACGTGCGTTGCGGGGACGTTGTTGGGACCTGCGAATAACCATTGTATGTGTAAATAGTGCCTCGTCTTGACGTCATGCTAATAATCAACATTCCTAAACTTTTCATTTATGAAAAGGAAAAATTCGAGTGGAACAAAAATTAATCAAACAGGAAACCATTAAAACGTGCGAATGCCTACTACAGCCAAACCTACTTGTCCCAGTTCACCGCCTCTGCGGTAAAAGTTGTATATGTTACAGGGAGTATGAGAAATCAGTTAGTTTGCAAACTACCTAGGGAGTTTGCAAACTCCCTGAACGATCAGGTAGTTTGCAAACTCCCTAGGTAGTTTGCAAAGTACCTGGTCGAACAGGTAGTTTGCAAACTCCCTAGGTAGTTTGCAAAGTCCCTAGTTAGTTTGCAAACTCCCTAGGGTTGTTGCAAACTACCTATAAGTAAAATGCAAAAACGACGAAACAACAGCCATATACGAGTACACAAGACGCGATGAATTGGTTCATAGCTCAGAATGAAGCTTGGCAGCAATGGTGCATAACGAGACGATGTGGTGTTTTGATGACGCTCTTCCGCAGCTAACTATTTATTTTTGTCTTGCTCGCAAATATCATCTGACAGATTAATGTCTGCCTTTTTTTATTGTAGTCGACAACATATTACGTTGCCATCCACCTCCTTTCCTTGGACGTCAGCGGGCTCTCCTCCACCGGTCTGGCGTCCATCTAAAAGCGGATGACGTCGCCATGTTCGGCGTCTTCCACGACTCGAGAGTTATTGCCGCTCAGCGCTTCCTCCCACTCCCGGAACCTCTGATCGAACAGTTCGTGAGACATCCCCACAGAACCACAGAGCAACCATAAAACAGAAACTGCGATCACTATGCTGCCTCTCCACACTCCGCTCAGCACTGATGACCCGCCAGCACTGTGCGCCGTCCACCAGCCGTGACCCAACAGCGCCTTTCATCCGTATCCCGCAGGCACACACTGACCTGACCTGTCAAGCTCAGGGCAGTCGACTGCTGGCAACAGGATCGGGTGGAAGCGGGGCGTTGGGTTGACTGGTAGGTACTATCATATTTTGTTTTTTTTTTTTTTTCGAAACTTAAAAAACTTTTTTGATTTTTTGGGTAATATATCCAATTTCATTTTTCATTTCTGGGGGTCAAAAATCAAAAATTTTAAGAATCCGAGAATGCAAATTTGTAGCCCTGTTGATTTCACACCTTTTATGTCTTGATCATTTTTCTATATCTTCAAAGCTGTAGGTCTGACAGCTCTTCTCGCGAAGCACTTTTTCGGTCGAAATGGCAGAACATGACGTCATTCTGACGTCATTTATGGCCAACCTATCATAGCCTCTGGAAAATTTTGGTCACAATGTGTAAAATTGATGCCCGGAGAAGTCCTGAAAGTTTGATGGCGATAGCTGCAGCCGTTTAGGAGATATTGACGGAAAAGGACAGGGGGGCCATTTTGGCCCCGCCCCCCCCCCTACGGGGCGCGGGTTAGAAATCAGGATGTCATCTTTAGTCAACCCAACGCCCCGCTTCCACCCGATCCTGTTAGCCAGCAGTCGACTGCCCCGAGCCTGACAGGTCAGGTCAGTGTGTGCCTGCGGGATACGGATGAAAGGCGCTGTCGGGTCACGGCTGGTGGACGGTGCACACTGCACAGTGCTGGCGGGTCATCAGTGCTGAGCGGAGTGTGGAGAGGCAGCATAGTGATCGCAGTTTCTGTTTTATGGTTGCTCTGTGGTTCTGTGGGGATGTCTCACGAACTGTTCGATCAGAGGTTCCGGGAGTGGGAGGAAGCGCTGAGCGGCAATAACTCTCGAGTCGTGGAAGACGCCGAACAAGGCGACGTCATCCGCTTTTAGATGGACGCCAGACCGGTGGAGGAGAGGCCGCTGACGTCCAAGGAAAGGAGGTGGATGGCAACGTAACATGTTGTCGACTACAATAAAAAAGGCAGACATTAATCTGTAAGATGATATTTGCGAGCAAGACAAAAATAAATAGTTACTGCGAAAGAGCGTCATCAAAACACCACATCGTCTCGTCATGGTCTCGTTATGCACCATTGCTGCCAAGCTTCATTCTGAGCTATGAACCAATTCATCGCGTCTTGTGTACTCGTATATGGCTGTTGTTTCGTCGTTTTGCATTTTACCTATAGGTAGTTTGCAACAACCCTAGGGAGTTTGCAAACTAACTAGAGACTTTGCAAACTACCTAGGGAGTTTGCAAACTACCTGTTCGACCAGGTACTTTGCAAACTACCTAGGGAGTTTGCAAACTACCTGATCGTTCAGGGAGTTTGCAAACTCCCTAGGTAGTTTGCAAACTAACTGATTTCTCATACTCCCTGTAACATATACATTTCGCCTGCCGTCAGTTCGCCATGGCGTCACGGCTTCCTCCACGGGCCGTGCCAGTCATGCGTGACCGACTGTCGGGTACCGTGGCCTGGACGGCACGCGACCGACCAGCCGGATCCGCCGGCCGGCTCGACCCAAAGGGCCAGTGCGCTCCGTCACCGGGCCAAAATGACACGGGAGTCGGTTAGGACTGGTCAGACACGACAGGTGGTCTCTTTCCAGTCAGCTGTTTTCTCACGGGAAGCTGCTTGCTTTTTTAATATTGTGGCCTCGGGATGATGCTCCTTTGTTCGCAAGCCGTGACTAAACACCTACGCTTTTCATGGTGAGAAGCTGCTAAGCTGGTGCGAAGTGAGCAGCTGTTAGCTGCTAACAATGGTCTGAGCTATTTCTTGACTTATTCCATGGGAACTATTGCCCTCAGGGTTCAGGCAAATGGCATGGCCTAACGTGGTAACATTGGGAGCCGGTTACTGCTCTCATAGTAGCTCGGCTGATTTCATCCAGGTCCAAGAAGTTGTGTCTCAAATAAAAGAGACGGCCTGGCTGATTCCATCAGTGTCGAGTTGTTTTCCTGGTGAAAGAAATTGTCTCGTTGCGCGTGGCTCAGAGTACGGCCCTTTTACGAGACATAATGTGTTCATGGTGTAATGAGGTGATGTTCAGCATGTCGCAGGTAATAAATCTTTGTAGTCACTGAACTACTTTACACCAGGAAGAGTAATTGTCTGACACCCAGGTAAGCACGACAAAGAAACGACCCATTTATCGCTGGCGTTAATCGGTGGTGCAGGCGAGTGCTGCGCGAACAGACCAGGTGCAAAGTGCAAGAGTGCAAACACTTTGGCGTCTTTTCGTCCCGTTGCCTATAACCCGCCTCTTGTGTTCTATCCATATCTGCCTGGATGGCCCTCGTCTGCACAGCTCTGCGACCCACCAACGCTTCTTCGGCGTGGGTTGCACCTGTCACCCCTTGTCTGCCATTCTCTGTCCCGTCCATCTGGATGATTCACCCTCGTCCCTTTATATAACCACCCTCACCGTTCACCCTCTCTGTGTGACCCATCTGCTGCCACCCAGACGCTCCCCCACTTCTCCAGTTGACCTACCTTTGACGCAGGCCTTCTTCTCGGCATCGAGTGTCAGCGTGGGTGGACAGGTGCAGACCGGTCGGTGGTTTCGGACCTGACAGGCGCCGTGTCGCAGCAGGCCGTCGCAGTGGTCCAGAACCTGACACGGGTCCGTACACACCCCTCCCAGGCAGAAGCGGCTCTCGTGACAGTCGCCGTCACTTCGGCACTTCTCCGGGTCTGCCGGAAAAAGAGGGTAGAGTTAGCGCTGGGGGTAGTGAGAGGGATTCGGGGATTGCGCATCCGTGACCTGGATCTCAAATTTCAACAGCAAAAAATCATGTTTCATCTGGTAGGTCCATAACCATCGCGACGATATTTGAACTCCGGCTTGTCCCGTATTTTGTCGGTACACATACATGGATGCTTTATGCCACCAGATAAAAACGAAGAGCAAACAATTATACGATCATCACGCTCGTGTCATCCTTTCTGAAGACAAACCGGTGCGGAGATGGCATTTATCCGCAGCTCGTGTCTGGCAGTAGGGTCTCAGAGGCTCGGATCGTTATCCACAGGGCACGAATGCCACTGAATGCCCCCACGATTCATCACGTGAGAATGTGCAACCGGTGTCATCGATTAATTAGAGAGATTTTACGATGAATGTATTTTGACGTGTCTCGAACGTCAGCATCTTTCGTCATTCTGAGCATATCTTATTGTACAGGGTGTCCCAAAAGTAAGGTCATCATTTGTTTTGGCCACACTGCCAAAAATACGCGATGGATAGATATAAATAGGACATCATATGAAAGAGCATTTTATAAAATTTTATTCTGACATACATATGAGTCAATACATTGGCTCGTAGCCCCACATTTGCTGCTTTTCTACATGGCTACCATTTCGGGCCGCGTGCATGAATAGACTACGTTTGACTTCCTCCACTATTCTGGAGCGATTCTCTGGTGAGATGCCGCCTATGTTTGCTCGAAGGGATCGTCCTTTAGTTCTTCCCGGCTCGTTGGGTTGTCCTAAAAGACAATCTTTCTGTTGTGTATCCAGAGAATACAAATATGAAGGTGTAACGTCAGGTGACCGTGGAGGCCATTCAATGGCGTTGCCCTGACTGAAAATTACGGGATCTCACATCCACTCTCGGAGACAATGCATGATCTTCAGGACGGTGCAAGCATAGTCTCCATCCTGCTGAAACCACTGCTGGCTGATGGTGTCGGCACAGCTGCGTTGCGACGAGCGGAAGAACCACTGGGAGGACTCTCGGCCACCTCTCTTGATTTATTGTCACCCGATTCCCGCTGTCGTCCTCAGGACCTCGAAGCACAGGTGGCTAAGTATACATGCCCTGTGCGTACATTATACTTTTTTTTCTGACGTTTTACCGGTTGAGGCGAAACTATGCATGAGTTCAGAGATAGGGCGAGCTGATAGGGTCTGCTTAGGGCCGAAAACTGGGCGGTATTTACCCTTTGTTTTAATGACGGACCCTCTCTAAGAGTTGAATTTCGACCTTCTCAGTTTTATGCCTACTGCTCGGTGTAGTTATGATCAAAAATGGTTTAAGCATGCAAGAAAATAATTTTATGGATGTACCTTGCACGTGTTAAAATTGGAAGTGATTCGGACTCTTACTTCTCGAGATATTTAAGTTTTAAATCATGACCTTACTTTTGGGACACCCGGACACTTAGCAATGAAGATATGCGCTTCCAGTTTCTAAATTTCTTTATTCCTTTTACTCTACAAAGTAGCCCAGTTTTGGATCAAATAAGCATGCCTGCATCCATTGCTGTCTTTTTAGTTTCAATTGTTGTTACTGAGCTGTTTGACGGAGCATGATTTTCATATGCTGCTCTGCAATTTTTCTTACACTCAAATAACTTCTCGTCATCACAGGTGTGTAAGAACTCACCGTTGCCATGCGGACGTGTGTTGTTTTACGTTACTTCACCACATTTCGTGAATCCAGCCAACGAACTACCGTATTGTGAAGGCTTCCGTGACTACCGCATGAAGAGCCCGTTTCCCACCAGCCTGGGGGCGACGTTGCGGTGTAACGGCTGTATCTGACAGTCCCCAGGGTCACCAGGGGCCATCCGGTACCCCAGGGTCACGGGTCACAGGTCAGAGCAGGAAGGTCTGTCGTGATGAGAAAGACTGCGATGGGGTCGAATGGGTAGTCGTGTGAGCCGCGAGGGTGGTTGCTGATTGACCTTATGTATGTCATGGAGTTGGGGTAGGGGAGCTCGAGAAGCTGTGAACCACTTTGAAAGACACGTTGACAATGCTGAGACTGCCCCAACGGAACAGGTATCTTTCTAATCTGATGGAAAACCAGAGAGACGAGATTGCGTTTGCCTCCCAAGCTCCCTAGGTGCTGCGCTACAGCCTGCCTCTCATGAGAAGCAGGCCACTCATCCTATTGGCGATGATAATCCTCATCTCACTCGCGGGCAGATCCTTCCCATCTCCGCTACGTGCTCGGCCCATCCGGGTGGGGCAGCCTGTCAAATGACTGTCGGGGTCACCGGGGCACCACGGAGCCTGCCTGCAGCGGAGCGTGAGCGCGGACTGCTGCAGAGCCGGTCCCGAGCCGACACGGCCCCGACCTCGTGCCTGATCCGGCCGCTCAGAGTCATGGCCGAAAACAGGAAAAACACGGACCCATTTGGATACAGTACTTTGCGGCGACCGAGCCGCGGCGGTGTGGAGCGTTCGTGCAGCTTTCTAATTGATAAAGTGCCGACGAGGTAGACCTTGGCCGAGTCAGTGAATGTTGTTCCCTCTGAGACATACAAATGCACACAGGCAGGGAGGTAAGGGAGAGAAGAGATCACTAGACACAAGACCAAGCTGGTCGAGCCTGAAACCACAACACAGAGCCCCCTACCCCGTACAGCCAAGTCCCAGGAAAACCCGCAGCGGCATGTGAGCTTATCTTCTGATGTCAGTCAGCGGCAGGCTAGCTGGCTGTTTCGGAGAATATTTGAATAATGGTGACAGCTTCACAATGAGCCGTAAGTGTTGTTCACAGGGGTGCCAGATGCAGCGCTCTGGAGCGCGAACACATTTGGAACACTCGGGGGACATGGAGCTCGTTGGCATCCGATAGCCGCTGTGGCGTGAACCCGCCGTTCGGCAGACGGTGTTAACAGGCGTTTACTGGGCCGAATTTGGGCGTGTCGCGGACGAGACCGAACGCGCCCCGGTTCATCTCCATACTGGAGCGGGGACGCTTTGCCTTCATTGTCCTCGTCACCGCCTCTGAAGTCTGAAGTCATTGAATCCAATGCCACTTTAGCGCTTCGCGGTACAAGCCCAAACAAAGGTGCATGCCATTGAAGGACGGTCCATGTCGCGGTTAGTGCGTTTCATTCGTCACGTGCAGCCAAGGAGTGGCTTCCGCTTCGATGTAGAGATATGCTGAGCCATTCTGAACTGCTAATCACACATGTTTATTAATGTGTTTGAGCGGACGCTCCCAGCCTTATGCTGTATAGTAATCTTGCCAGCCTTGTTAGTTGTTAGGGTGTCAGCTGCCAGCCGTATAGTAGATACTGAGCTCGAACATATTGACCAGTAACACGCGCCCAAGCCTCCCCGATTTTCTGTGCCTCTGTGGCTGCGGGGATACTTATTGTTTGGCTGCTTTAAAAAATCCAACCACAGATGCTGGAAGCTCAGGTGCGAAAAGTGTTTGTGTTAGTGGTGGCTACGTCGCGATTGGTGTGTTCACTGTTCGGTGTTTGTGGATTAGTTTGAAGGAAATATGGAGGACGAAAAATCGGATGGATTCCTGGAATTGTGCCGTGTACACCTGCAGCATAGCTGAGCGAGAGCTAAGCCCAGCTACACTCACAGCTTAGCCGTGCTAACAACGCATGGCGTAGTTTGCAAATATCGTAGTACTGTTTAGTGTTTAACGTTCAATGCTCATATCTCTCTGATCGTAAACGAGCTCTGCAAAAGGGTCCAGTGGAGAGTACATGAGGCGAGGTTCGATTGATTTTTATTTCTTTCAACCGATCCAATCCAACTAATCTAATATTCGACAACAATAATCTCATCTTCATTAGCTTAACAGTCACTAACTAATAGGAAAAAGAACGACATACTGTCGCTGAACTTCTTCTTTTAGTTTATTGCCCCGTCAGGTGTCTCGGTCGGCTTCCCTTGTTTGGCTTGTTGACGCTCCTGGGGTCATCCACCTGTAGGTGTGTGCCGTGCTCTATCGGTACCACCGGAGCTGAGGAAGGGCGGGGTCGACGGCCCATTGCGAGGCCAACTGGGCCGGAAACGACGCTGGTTCCGGTCCACGTCCGACGCCGGAGCTCAAATGGAGACGCCCGGAATGGTAAGGGTCTGACGGAGCAGCTGGAATGGGTGTGTATGACGGAGACGCCCAGAATGGGTGGTCTAATGGAGATGCCCTGAAATGGGAAGGTGCGGAGATTCTGGAAAGGGGAAGCAAGGAGCATGAAACCTCAAAATGGAATTGGGTTCGTCTGTAGACGTCTCTTCCTTTATATGCTGATAGCTCACCTCTTGCAGTTATCGTAAACAATAAGAAATATCTAACAATAGAAGTTTGTCCTCTCAAAGGTAAAATAGAAGTCATAGAGCTATGTGACTTAAGTTGAGTTTGAAGATTTAACATCGCTTTCAACTTTGTGATGATTCCACAATCCACGATAATGCATCCATCAATCACTCTGATTAACCATTCCCGTCTCTTACCACAAATGGTAACCAATTGCTAATGCCTTATCATCTGTCAGGGCCCACTCGTGCACGCACGTGCTCGCCACGTGAAGGCACGCGCACGTGGGCGTCCCAGGACGTGCCGGCGTGCGCGGCCAAAACCCATCGGAGCGCAGCACTCGGGCGTAATTGACGGAGATGGGAGGGGAGGGGAGGGGTGCTCACCGCGCTGGAATGGCTGCTGGGCCTCGTTTCATAAAAGGAATTACTTACGGCGTTCCGTCAATTATGCCAGATTTGGCGTATTTGATGCCAATTCGGTTTCATAAAGCCGGAGACCGGAGTAATTCACGCCATCGAAAGTACGGAGCTTCATTTACGGCAAATGCTCGATTCCGGACCAATTGATGCAATTTGGGTTTCATAAAACGACGTAATTAACGCCAAATATTTTATCAAGCTCTTGATATCAGTGGCGTAAACTACGCACAAAAATGTTGCGTGATTTTGAATCA